ACTGGGAGAACCACTGCTTTCTTCAGAGCTGTCAGACAGGGACGTTTAAGTCTGCAGAAGTTTCTGCTGCCTTTTGTTCAGCTATGCCCTGCCCCCAGAGGTGGAGTCTACAGAGGCAGGCAGGCCTCCTTGAGCCGAGGTGGACTCCACCCAGTTCGAGCTTCCCACCTACTTTGTTTACTGACTTAAGCTTCAACAATGGCAGACATCCCTCCCCCAGCCTCGCTGCTGCCTCGCAGTTCCATCTCGGACTGTTGCGCTAGCAGTGAGCAAGGCTTCATGGGCGTGGGACCTGCCGAGCCAGGCATGGGATATAATATCCTCGTGTGCCGTTTGCTGAGACCGCTGGGAAAGTACAGTATTAGGGCGGGAGTGTCCCAGTTTTCCAGGTACCTTCTGTGATGGCTTCCCTTGGCTAGGAAATGGAATTCCCCCGACCCCTTGCACTTCTCGGGTGAGGTGATGGCCCGCCTTCCTTCGGCTCACGCTCCGTGGGCTGAATCCACTTTCCAACAAGTCCCAATGCGTTGAACCCGGTACCTCAGTTGGAAATGCAGAAATCACCCATCTTCTGGTTCGCTCGCGCTGGCAGCTGTAGACTGGACCTGTTCCTATTCGGCCATCTTGGAATGAACCAGCAATCCTATTTAATTTTAACCAATTTGACCATGAAGTGAGGTTTTTACTAACCTGTTATGACCCTTGACAAGTTTTGCTAAAGAGTAGATTGGGCATTTTAAGAAAACCTTGTGCTTTTATTTTAGTAATTATAGAAAAAAAAATCTGTATAATACCCTTTTGAAGTTAATATGTTTACACACAGTTTTCTTTACAGGATTAATTTTTACAATCTTTTAAAAATTTGCTTAAGTTGTCCAATTTAATTTTAAAATTAAATGAGGAGGGGCGGGGTTTGGGGCTAAAGACTTTGGGGCAGGAGGGGCAGGGGGTTCGGATGGGCAAGGAACGGAATGCAGGGGGTTGAGTGTGGAAGGGGTTCATGTGCAAGGTCTAAAGGGGTTTTGGAGGAAGGAGAGACCTGGGAAGGGTTTTTCATTTTGTTTTGTTTTGTTTTTAAAGAGAAGGATGTTAGCTGGGCACGGTGGCTCACACATGTAATCCCAGCACTTTGGGAGGCCAAGGCAGGCCGATCATGAGGTCAGGAATTGAGACGATCCTGGCCAACATGATGAAATGCTGTCTGTACAAAATACAAAAAATTAGCCGAGTGTGGTGGTGGGCGCCTGTAGTCCCAGCTACTTGGGAGGATGAGGCAGGAGAATCGCTTCAACCTGGGATGCACAAGTTGCAGTGAGCCAAGATTGTGCCACTGCACTCCAGCCCGACGACAGGGTGAGACTCCGTCTCAAAAAAATAAAAAAAAGAAAAAAAGGAGGATGTCATGCGGTGTGCAAGCGTCACATAGGGAGGGTAGAAGAAAGCCTGAATATAGGGAATCTCTTGCCATTTGCCATTCCTGGTGATAAAATTGTCAAGGTCCCTGAGAATCTGAAAGTTAAAGGGTGCCGTTTCCAGGCGATCGGCTGTTATTATCTCATTTGTATTGGGGCCAGGCCGTGTTGCAATAAAAGCTAAACACTTTGGCTTTAGGCTTCCCTGTGAGCCAAGTTTGGCGAGGTTGTGAAGGAGACAGCCCAGAGGGGAGACGTGGGAATGTGGATGGTTTGGCACCATGTGGACTGGTGAGAGGAGGCCGAGTGGGTCTGTTTTCATTAGGTATCCCCAGACAAAAGAGACCTGGAATCTTCTTTCCAAAGAGAACAGTTAAGCTGAGAAGAAACTGGGTGTCCCCAAGATGTCCTCTAACTTAGTCCCACTGGTCCTCTGAGGACCGGGACGGCAGGCCGAACTTTCTCAGGTACTGCGAGAAAGCCAGGAGAAGGCAGATCTTACCAGTCAGCTGAATTAGTGTCTGATGTTGGATGTTCCTGTTGGAATCAGCAAAGGGCCTCCTGAACTGGAGTGAGCGAGGAAGAGGGAGGAAGACGGAGCAAGGGTTAGGGAGCGAAATAACCCATTGCTGGCGGTCGGAGGTGGATTCCTGAAACCTGAGGGTTTTGAGAGCCCACTGGGGAGTAGCCCTGGCCCAAGCCTCGCAGTCCCCTTCAGATTAGTTGTCCTCCTCACAGAAATCGCTCAAAAAATGAAGCAACAGAAGAGATGGGGTGTGTGGCCAGAGACTCTCAGGATCCAGGAGTTAACTCAGGACGAGCTGTCACTGCCCACTGCTTCCTGGGTTGCAGGAGAGCCTCTGCCCCCAACATCCGTCCTGGGTTTCAGCACCAAATGTAAGCGTTAAAGAGGAAAGAAACACGAAAAGCGACTCAACAGTCAAAAACAGGTTTATTTTGGACAATAAACCTGAGAGGGCCTTGTGGCCGAGTTAGGTCAGAGGTGCTCTCTCTTACAGGCTGAGTGTATTTAAGGGTTCAGGGTGGGAGAGCCTAGCACAGGCTTGAAATGTTTCTGTGTCTCTCTGTCTTGCTTCTCTGGGAGGGAGAGTTTTGTGTCTGTTCCCATACATCTTCCTGTAGCTGCAGGCATAGCCCCCCGAGTGCTTTTAGCTTACGTATGTTTCCCTGTAGTGCACCTAAAGGGAAAGGAATGTGCTTATTAGGGTCCACTTTTTTACTGGGGCCCATGGTATGACTGTGAAGTTTGGTGGTTACCCGAGAGACTTTCCCCCTTTACTCTGTGCCCAGCTGTGTTATCTGTGTTTTACTATCCGCTCTTTCTGGCTGCTGCTTGTTAGAAGTGATTTCCTTGAAATGCATGAGGTTAGGAAGGGAGCTGGAACTGAAAGTGGCGGTGTTTGTCCAAGATGATGGTGCTCCTGCTCTGTCGAGGAGGAGTGACTTCTGTGGTGGGATGAACCCCAGGACAACCTCGGCCAAGCAAGCCACATCATCCTCTTCCTGGGCTTTCAGGCACTTGGGGCTGCCAGCCCGTCCTGAACGCAACACAGAGCTCTGAACGGACCGGCTGAGGGGCCACATCACCGGGCTCCCAGAGGCAGCTGTGCTTGCCAGGACACCTTCCCGCATGCTGCTGCGTGGTACTTGACCTCGTGCCAATCCAGCACCATGGACCCCCTTCCCTCTTCTTCCCACTGCCCATCACAGTTCTCACAGTTTGAGAGATGCCAAAGTGCTTTGGAGAAGTCAGAATGCTCCGATATTTACGAAAGGCTTCAGTGTGACTTTCCAGCTCAGTGTGCTTCCGAGATCACCAAACGCTTCTGTCTGCACAGGCTACTTCAGAGATGCCTAACTGCTCTGGGGCTACAAAGCGCTTGGATTACTTTGCAGTACAAAGCCTAGAGCTGTCAGAGCGCTTCAGAAGACCGCAAGGGACTTTAAGGTTCACACATAGCTGCTGACCCATGGGCTCCTGCAGCTCACCCAGCTGCCCTGGGCTGGAAGGGGCCCAAGCGCCCCTCAGAGCCAGCCGCACCCCTCAAGGCCGCCTCCAGACAGCCCACCTGGCTGCCGAGGCCCAGACACCCGCCCTGCCTGCCCTGTTGGGCCACCCACACTGTTCTGCCCAGCCCGACCTCTGCCCAAGATGAGACCGCTCTGACCTCCCCAGTGCCCGCCCTCTGGTATGTTTTTCCCTATACATACATACCTGTGATAAAGATTATATGTTAGGCTCATGATAACTAATAAAATAGAAAAACTGTAACAACATGTTATAATAAAAGTTGTGTGACCTGCTGTCTCTCTTTCAAAATAGCCTGTATTCTTCTGGTGATGATGTGAGATGGCCCAGTCCCTGTGTGTGGGATAGGTGAGGGGAATGGTGTAGGCATCGTGACATAGGGCTGGGCTGCTCCTGAGCTTCCTGTGATGTGTCGGGAGGGTCACACAGCCACGACTGTGTCGGTGGTTGTGTGTCAGGAGCAGATGATGTGGCTGACAGGCGAACCACATTTGCAGCCCCGGGGTACATGGGACAAAGGGGTGGCGCCCGTCCCTGGGTGGATGGTGCAAGATGTCATCGTGCTGTCAGATTGGCATGCAATTTAAAACTTAGGAAATGCCCTTTTCTGGAATGTTCCATTCAATGTTTTCTGACTGCAGTTGATCTTCATTAACCGAAACTGCAGAAAGCAAAACTGTGGAGAAGTGGGGACCTGTGTGACTTGAAGTGACACATTTGTTTTTGCTTAAATGACTTACGGAGAATCCACAATTGTACTGGTCTAAGATGGAAAATGAAAAAGACCATGTCCTTTTTGATTTCGCCCTTGGAGAGAGGAGCCCTTGTTGTAGGAGTGAATCTTAGGTGGCTCCTGGCTCTCCACTGTCCACCGATGCTCTGCTGCGTCCACACACTTTCAAGCCCTGTGCCCGCTCCCACGCTGGGTCTTTGCGAGTGCTTTTGTCCTGTAAAACGACCCCACAGCGGAAGCCTAATGTGGTAGCAGCCTGGTTCACATGAACAGGACTTTGACGGAGTAGCTCCGTTTCCGGGTGTGACTTCGGAGCCCAGCATGCCTAGTTTCATGCCACAGTGACGCAAGCGAGTCACCCCGTCTGCTCCAGTCCCCTGTCCCCAATTCCCGGTCGTCTCAGCCACTCATTTTCATTTTGAAAATCTCGTGGAAGTTTCTATTTGCTTTTATTGCTTTCTTTGTTTACTTGTCTATTTTTTAGTACTCATGTGCCATTAAAAAGTTGACTGGAAAAACAGCTCTTAAAACTGTAAGAGAAATAGTATAGGGCTTTGTGTAATAAAACGTACTGCAACTTTCCAACACTGATACCTGTGGACATTTGGTAGGACTGTATGCTTTTTCCATGTGAAATACGAAATTGAGGATTTCTCATAAATTTAGGATTGCTTTGTAAAAATATTTCACTATTGGTAGAAAGTAGTTTATATTAATAAGTACAAAAACCAGAAAGTCAGTGAGAAAAAATATAAAATAAAAAGGTAGTTATTAATCTGTAATTATTTACAATGTCAATTTTCAGAGTTAACGAATTACATGATCCAATGTACCAGTACCGAGTTGACACCGGGAATTTCCAGGTAAGGATTGTTCATGAAGCCTGCAATTTTTCTTCTTAATGCTGTTTTACAAAATTACTGAAATTTGTGACTTAAATTGTTCTGTTGCGCCTGCTGACTACTTGGGAAGGACTACATAGAAAGTTCAAGGGTGGAAGATTTGGGGAAAAATTTTTTTTTTTTTTTTTTTGGGATAGAGTCTTGCTCTTGTCACCCAGGCTGGAGTGCAGTGGTGTGATCTTAGCTCACTGCAGCCTCTGCCTCCTGGGTTCAAGTGATTCTTCTGCCTCAGCCTTCTCAGGAACTGGGACGATGGGCGCGCGCCACGACACTTGGCTAATTTCTGTATTTTTAGTAGAGATAGGGTTTCACCATATTGGCCAGACTGGTCTCCAACTCCTGACCTCAAGTGATTTACCCATTTTGGCCTCCCAAGGTGCTGGGATTATAGGCGTAAGCCACTGTACCCAGCAGAAAAGCTCTTTTTTTTGTTTTGTTTTGTTTTGTTTTTGTTTTTGTTTTTTTGAGACAGAGTCTTGCTCTGTCGCCCAGGCTGGAGTGCAGTGGCTGGATATCAGCTCACTGCAAGCTCCGCCTCCCGGGTTTACGCCATTCTCCTGGCTCAGCGTCCCGAGTAGCTGGGACTACAGGCGCCTGCCACCTCGCCCGGCTAGTTTTTTGTATTTTTTTAGTAGAGACGGGGTTTCAGCGTGTTAGCCAGGATGGTCTCGATCTCCTGACCTCATGATCCGCCCGTCTCGGCCTCCGAAAGTGCTGGGATTACAGGCATGAGCCACCGCGCCCGGCCTAGAAAAGCTCTTTAAAACAATGTTTTTACTTCCAGTCTTTGGTTTGTGGCTGACACAGTGGCAGCCCCTGGAAGGACACAGCTGAAGCCCCGTCACTGTGGTTCTGGTCGGCTGCTCTTCCCTTCCCAGTCAGGTGTTGGGGAACACCAGGTCTGTGGGCTCCAGAACAGACCCCAGGGCCCACGTCTGTTGCTGAAGGAGACACTGGAGAACAGAGCCTTCTCAGTGCTAAACATGCTGGTCTAGTCCAGTCCCTTTGCTTTACGTAAGGTCCCAGCTCAAGTCACTCAGGTGCTTTCGAGAAAAATGATCCCGATTCCTGCTGTGCTGTCCTGTGTTCTGAGCCTTGACCGTAGGAGGGGAGCTCTGGTGCTGAGAGGACAGGAAAGGGCTGGGGGGATGGCGTGGGCCGGAGTCATTGAGGAGCGGGGACTGCGTCCAAAGATACTGTCCACGCCCCAGCTTGGCCCTTGTCAGAACCCACGGGCTTGCCCTCCCCATTACAACTCTGTCTTCAGAAAAGGGCTTTGTCTTGCTGTACCATTACAGAATTGTGCGCTTTTAGACCTTAGGTCCTGTAGAGCATCTAATTCAAGCCCCTCATGTCACAGATAAGAAAAGAGAGGTCCGGAATGGTTGATGGTTGAGACGGCGCATGGATTCTCAGGGCCTAGCCTGGGTCCATTCTTGGATACATGCCACCTTCCCACATGCAGGGGAAGGATGGAGAGCCAGCCCTTCACCCCCAGGGGCGAGAGAGACAGATAGTGGCTGCCGCGGTCTGAGCACCCACTGTGCCTGGACAGGTCTGTGGTGGGAGGAGTTTGGGCTCTGCCCTGCTGATTTGCAAGGCCTGGGGTGTTGTCCACCTCGGGAGCTGCATGTGCTCGCAGTGGGACTGAGCGGATGGTCCCGGGTGGGAGCCATTGTTCTGCTTCCTGGAGGGACCTTCGGGATTTAAGTCCCTTCTGAAAACCTGTGGCTTTGCTGCCTGTGGTGGTGTAGGGAGAAGGTTGCAGAGGCCCTGTTCTGACTCCAGTGCTGCCTTGCATCCTCCTAGGGAATGAAGGTCTTCTTCATGGTGGTGGCAGCGGTGTACGTCCTGTACCTCTTGTTCTTGATAGTGCGGGCGTGTTCTGAGCTGCGTCACATGCCTTATGTAGGTAAGTGCCCCTTTCAGAATCAGTCGGTGCAGGGGCGGCTTGGGAGTGACTCGGGTGGGAGAAGAAGTGGTTGGAGTCTCCTAAGCCAGGGGCCTTCCTTGAGAGCCCAGGGACTGGTCCATCCCACAGACTGGGGACCAGGGTACATGGTCTCCGGGAGCCACAACAGACCTAACAGGTTAGTCTGGCATTTGGGGCCTTCAGAGCAGCCTGGGTCCTGCAGTACTGCACCCTGCAGAGCAGAGCGAGTCACCCTGAGCTTGGGGGATCCTTCCCTGAATCCGTCCCACCAGAGGATGGTGGCTGTGGCCTCCCTCCCTAGACACCACCCTGGCCCTGGGAAGGGACCAACATTCTCCTGGGCTGCAGGTGACTCCAGCCAAGTCTGGAGGGAAGGGCATTTGTCCAAAGAGCTTTGCTTCATTTTTGTTTTATGTTTTTCAAAATCAAATGAGAGTGGAATTTACATCCAGGGTTGTTAATGAGAATTTCTTTCTTTTTCAGATCTCAGGTTAAAATTTTTGACCGCGTTGACTTTTGTAGTACTTGTCATTAGGTAAGAAGACCTTATTTCTTGAAAAGAGCAAAACGGAATTTTTCTTTTACTGTCAGGAATATCTGTTCCCTCCTTTTGTGGAGTGGATTTCAGGGTACTTCTAGCCCAGTTGACTCATGAGGTTAGAGGGCCTCCCACCAAGGGTGGGCAGCTGAGAGCAGCCATCAGCCTGGAGACCATGTTTTTGTTGTAAGTGGCAGGGGACTGGAGCACGTTCACTCGCACACTCGCCCCGTGCTGGGCGTGTTCTGTTCTAGCTGTGCCACCTGCCACCTGTGCCGTGTTCACAGTCACCTGCTGGGTGGTTGGAAAACCACAAGACGGACGTGAGGGCACTGGGGACCTTGGGATCCTTGGGGTGTCCCAAGGAGAGGACTCTAAGCATGAGTTAGGACAGCAAACACCCCCTTGAGCAGCGTGCTCTGTTGCCGCCGTTGGGGGAGATGGGAGGTGAGGCAGGCTTGGTCCTGTTGTTTCAGGGAGTGGGGTCAGCCTGAGGTCTCTTGGGGCAGGCTTGGCCTGGCCTGAGCGCCCCAGACCTCCCTGGGGACCAGTGCTGGCCAGTTGGTAGAGTAACAGAGCGGGCTGGGAAGTTGTTTCTTTGAATAGATTCCAGATAATTGCTTGGTGGTTTATGGTTTGTCTCTTTCTCCTAAAATCAGAATCCAGAGGACGGAAAAATCTAGCTGCTGCTTTCCTTTTTAGGTTGTTTGGATGGCAAATAAGTGGATGTCGGCTCTTTTCCTTTATGGGAGTGACAAGCGGCCTCTGGGAGGTTGGCCCTTGTTCAGGCTTTCCAGGTGGGCTCTGGGGGTCCCTACCTTGTGGAGGGCAAGGACTGAGATAGGTATCCAGGGCCGTCCACCACCAGTAGGAGCGTGAAGTCAGCTCGGACTTGGACTTGAACTCGAATTTCATTCAGCATCAAAATTCACTCAGAATAATGCGGCATGTGTGTTTATTAGTCTCTGTTCAGGGCTATATGTGCGTGCTGTCTGACGTCTCATACACACGGCCATACAACCTCACATACAGGCTTACTCACACAACCTCACTCATGCCTTCACTCACAACTGACTCACCTCACACCCTCATTCTCACCTTCATGCATACCCTCATTCTGACACCCTCAGCCTCACTCACATCCCCTCAAACCCCCTCTCACACCCACCCTCACTCTCACACCCACCCACCGTCTCACACACACCCTCACACACCGCCTCACACCTCACACACCCCCTCACACCTCACGCACACCCTCACACACCCCCTCACACCCTCTCACACACCCCTTCACACCCTCTCAAGCATCCTCACCCTCACACCCGCCTCACACCCTCACACACCCTCACATACCCCCACCCACACCCACTCACACCTCATATACACCCCTACACCCTCACACCCCTCTCACAGGCAATTTACACTCCTGGCCACATACACCCTCAAGCATCCCGCTACACCCTCACATACCTCCCCACCCACACACCCCTTCACACCTCATACACACTCCTCACACCTCTCACAGGCACCGCACACCTTCCTCACACCCTCTCACACCCCTCACATCCCACACCCTCACACCCCCACACTCACCCCCTACACCCTCATACACCCTCACCCCCTCACCCTCTCACGGCACCCCCCACACACCCCCTCACACCCCTCCCTCTCTCTAAGTACTCCCTCTCTACACCCTCACACACACCCTTGCCACATCCTGGGTCACACCCTTACCCCTACACCCTCTGCCACATCCTGTCACACCCCACACACACTCTTACACATCCTGTCACACCCTCAGCCCCACACTCACTCCTCACACCTCACGTCCCTCACCCCTCACACCCTCCTGCCAGGCACCCCCACACACCTCCTCACACCCCCTTGCCACATCTTGTCACACCTCACGCACCCCCACGCCTGCCACACACCTTCCCACCTTCACTCAAACCCTCCCACCCCACCATATCCTCTCACACACCCTCACCTCACACCTTCATAGACTGCCACTCACCCCCGCCAGCCACATCCTCACCTCTCACCCTCACACCTTCACACACCCTCACACCTTCACACCTTCACACACCCTCACATACCCTCACATACCCTCACATACCCTCACTCTACACCCTCACACACTCTCATACATCCCCTCACACCCTCACATACCCCCCCACCTCACTCCCCTCGCCTCACACGCCTCACACCCACATTCACACCCTCACACATCCCTCACACCCTCACACTCCCCTCTCTGCCCTCACATTTTCTTTACACCTCACTTTCTCTCAATTTATTTTACATTCTCACACTCTACATTCTCTCACCCTCACATTCTCACACTCTACATTCTCACACCTCACATTCTCTCACCCTCACATTCTCACACTCTACATTCTCACCCCCTACCACCCTCACATTCTCACATTCTCTACACCGTCACATTCTCATGACCATCACATTCTCACACCCTCACATTCTCACACCATCACATTCTCACACCCTCACATTCTCGCGCCTTCACTCACCCTTTACGTTTCCTACACCTCACACCCTCACCTCACATTCTCACACCGTCACATTCTCACACCCTCACACCTCACATTCTCACACTCTCTACATTCTCACATCCTCTTACCCTCACATTCTCACACCCCACCCTTTAAGCATTCTCACCCTCTACATTCTCACATCCTCACCTCACCCCCAGCATTCTCACACCCTCACCGCTCACATTCTCACACCCTCGCCTCACATTCCTCAAGCACGCTCACATTCTCACCCTCAGCATTCCTACACTCCTCACATTCTCACACCTCACCTCACATTCTCTCACACCCTTACATTCCCTACACCTCACATTCTCTCTACACCTCTCACCTCACATCCTCAGCATTCACACCCCCACATCCTCACATTCTCACACCTCACATTCCCTACACCTCACCTCACATTCTTTACACCCTCACATTCTCACACTCTACCCTCACATTCTCACACCCTCACATTCTCTACACCCTCACATTCTCACACCAGCCACATTCTCACATCCTCACATTCTCACATCCTCACCCCTCACATCCTGCCACCCTCACCCTCACCTCACATTCTCACACCCCTCACCCTCACATTCTCACATCCTTCACATTCTCACACCTCTTACATTGTCAAGCACCTCACATTCTCACACCTTCTGCATTCTCTACACCTCACATTCTCACACTCTCTCACATTCTCACACCTTCACTCCTACATTCTCACACCTCTACATTCTCACACCTCACCCTCACATCCTCACATTCTCACACCTCACACTCACATTCTCACACCCCTGCTACCTCACACCCTCACATTCTCACACCTCACTCACATTCTCACACCCCTCACATTCTCACACCTCACCTCATTCCCTACACCCTCTACATTCTCACACCTCACATTCTCACACCGCTACATTCTCACATCCTCACATTCTCACATCCTCACACCCTCGAAGCATCCTCACACCTCACCCTCACCTCACATTCTCACACCCTCACCCTCCTCACATTCTCACATCCTTCACATTCTCTACACCCTTACATTGTCACACCCTCACATTCTCACACCTTCACATTCTCACACCCTCACATTCTCACACCCTCACATTCTCACACCTTCACCCTCACATTCTCATACTCCTCAAGCATTCTCACACCCTCACATCCTCTGAATTCCCACATTCTACACCTCACTCTCACTCCTCACTTTCTCTCTCACACCCTCACTCACCTCATTTCCCACACCTCTCACTCTCTCACATTCTCACACCCTCACTCACATTCACACCCTCACATTCTCACACGCTCACATTCTCACACCTTCACTTACATTCTCAGTCCTCACATTCTCACACTCACATCCTCACATTCTCACACCCTCACACTCACCTCACATTCCTTACATCCTCAGCATCCTCACATTCTCACACCTTCACATTCTCACACCCTCTCTCTCACATTCTCACACCCTCACTGTACATTCCTCACACCCTCACATTCTCACACCCTCACTCTCACCGTCACATTCTTACACCCTCACATTCTCACATTCTCACTCTCACCGTCACCGTCATTTCCCTACACTCACACCCTCACTCCTTACATTCTACACCTCACTCACTCTCACATTCTCACCTCACTCACATTCTCACACCTCACATTCCTGCCACCCTACCCGCTCACATTCTCACACCCTCACATTCTCACACCCTCACTCTCACATTCTCACACCCTCACATTCTCACACCTTCACATTCTCACATGCTTATATTCTCACATGCTCACATTCTCACACTCTCTCACCCTCACATTCTCACACCCTCACATTCTCAGACCTTCACTGTCACCTCACACCATCAGTCTCACACACCCTCACCCTTAAATTACCTAGTCCCCAAGTTGGGAGCTACTGTCTACTTCTGTGACCTCCATCTTGGAGGTTGCCCTGCCTTGTGGTCTTTCTTCATACTGGTATCGGGACTCATTTATCCTACAAATAGTTACTGAGTGCCTGCCCTGGCAGACAGGCTTCTCTGTGTCACGGGATTTATGTTCTCACAGAAGGAGACAAGTGGCAAACAACTAAATACATTCCCCCTGCGGGCCATGCGGCAGACAAAACGGAGATGTGACTCGCAGACGGGAAGGGTCCACTTCAGATCAGTGGTTTAGGGATGTGTCTCTTGGGGAGGTGACATTTGGCCGAGGACCTGAGGAGGAGCCCTGAAAGCTGTGGGGTGGCTGCTCCAGGCTGCAGAACAGGGTGCTGGCAGCCTGGGTGAGCATCAGCATGGCGAGGTGGAGAGACAGCAGTGTCGCTGGAGACCAGCATGGCTGGAGACAAGCAGGCGTGGGCACGGTGGGAGGCAGAGCAAGCTCTCGAGTCTAGTTTCCATTCTGTGCTAGGAGACCGCCAGAGGGTCTTGAGCTGGGAGGTGAGAGGGTCTGGTGCACGTGTTAATGAAACCGTCTGGCTGAGAGTGGCATGTGGGAGGTGAGGTGGAAGGCTGGCGGAGGAGCCTGTGGACCTGTTACCTGAGGCCTCTGTTGTCATCTGTCACCGGGTGGGAGTCTGAACCAAAGGTGCTGCCTTCGTTGCTGTGCGAGTCACTGGAACTGACCGGGGAGGCGTCCCTGTGTCTGAAAGGGGAGCTGTGATGAAGGAGAAGCAGGCTTCCCTTGGGAGAAGGGGACTCTGTCACAGGAGATGGTCTCGAAAACCTGTATTACGAGAGCGAGAGCAGGGAGGAAATGTGCCAAGGGAGCTTCAAGGCCCCAAGCAGGGAGAGTGTGACGCGGTCCGCAGCAGGGTTCATCGTGTCCCTGCAGCTGGCCGGTGGGTCTAGCCTGCCTAGATCCGAGACCAAAAACCAGAGGCAGGGGCTCTCTGTGTGTGTGCGTGTGCATGCGTCTGTGCGCGTGTGCGTGCGTCTGCGCGTGTGTGGAAGTACCCATACAGAAATCATAATGTACAGGCCAAAAGGTTGAATGGGGTGAATAGAGAATTCTCTGAAGCGAATGCCGTTTTCATGCATGTTTACGTATTGTCTCTGTTCCTCTATCTTTTTCAGCATCGTCATCCTTTATTTGAGATTTGGAGCACAAGTACTACAAGACAACTTTGTAGCAGAGCTGTCAACTCACCACCAGAATTATATCCTTTTGACTGGCGGGGCCTGGCTGCAGGGGCCTGCTTAGCATTGCAGCGGTTAGTGGCTCAGATTTGCCCCTTTCAAGAGGAGACAAGTCAGCTCCTCGCGCCCTGTTCTCTGGAGGCCTCGTCTCTGCTGAGAGGCGTCTCAGTTGGCCCCACTGCAGCCCTGGGACAGGGCAGCCTGTCCTTCCTCTGTACACAAGAAGCTTGAGCCTGGAGGGCTCAGTAGTTCCCCCAGGTCAGGTTTTGGGTGGCAGAACCTGGTTCCAAACCCAGGGAGGCTGGTGCTCCGGAGCGTGCCCACACCACCCTGCTTTCCACCCAGAGGGGCAGGCGCCATAAGGTAAATGAGGTGCGGTTGCCCCTCCACACCGCGGGGCTCCAAGCCCCCTCTGCCCTCCAGCAGAGCACTGCGGGGTGGGTGAGGGCTGCCGTGCACCTCCTGTCTGCCCCAGGGGTCTCGCTCATCATCACTGAGATATTGGGGTGACAGTCATGGCAAGTTGAGCCTGTGTCTGTAGGGAAGAACTCATAAAATACCAAGACCCGCTTCGATTCCCGCTGTGCCCGAAGCCAGTGGGGCAGGGGCTGTTGCCTCCAGGGAGCCCTGGCCTCGCCCAGAAGTCGGAGAGGTGATGTGTGTGCTTGTTGGCACACACTCCTTTTTGGGGACACTTCAGGAGTTAATCGTTTAAATCTTGGGTTCTTTCTTTGGGATTTCTTATGTCCCAATTAATGCATGAATTAATACACGATTTTTTCAAATTTTTGTGACTGAATTTCACGCTAAGCTTTTATCAGATTTTCAGAGGGGTCTGTAATCCAGAAAATGTTCAGAACAATTGGTTTGAGAGTTTGTTTCCAATTCTTTATTTCAGTTTTGTGTCTAGAGACCTTGATTCGCCGTTTGCCCATGGCCTTCCTGCCCTTTTCGTGTAACTTCATCTCTTCTGGCCCTGCCCTCAGTGCCGGTGACAGGATCGCCACCAGATGTCTCAGTGGGGCTAGGTTTCCAATGATGTGAGAGGCCGCAGTTGATCTGTTATTTACTGTGACCTTGAAGAGTCCTTGTGACCCCTGGCTGTGGGCTTGAACTGTGGAATCCTGACGTGTGGGTTAGGGACCCCCGGGCACTGACGGGGGCTTGGCACCAGAAGGGGCTGCTGATTGCAGGAGGAGCGGTCGGGCTGAGGCACAGCCTCTGACTGATGTGTCCAGATGCCACGTTCCTTCCCTTGACAGAACCACCAGCTGAGTTCTTATCTTTCTATGGCCTGTTGAACTTCTATCTCTACACCTTGGCATTTGTATATTCTCCGTCGAAGAATGCCCTCTATGGTAAGCCACCCTGGGGTCTGGGCTGCTGGCCGGGTAGTGGGCACAGAAGCCTGTGTTCATCCATGACCCACTTCCTGGGTTTCCCATTCATGTGGGCACTGTGATTCCCAGTGACTTCTCTTGGCAGAGAGACAGTGGTTGAAATGTTGAGCTCTGAGGTGAGTTGGGGGCCAGCATACATAGAACCTGCGTTGTGTCCTTCCCACACAGTTAACATACTCATTTTGTTAGTGTCAGTCCTCAGCTTATGCTGTTCAGTTGGGGAGTTTTTGACTTTACAAAGGTGCAAAATCAATACACATTCAGGAGACATCACACTTTGAATACCCAGACAACCATTCTGTTTTTCACTTTCAGTACAGCATTGAGTAAATTCATGAGATGGTCAACATTTATTACAAAACAGGCTTTGATCCTTTGATCCCAGCACTTTGGGAGGCCAAGGCAGGAGGATTGTTCGAGCCTGAGAGTTTGAAACCAGCCTGGGGAGCAAAATAGAGACCCCATCTCTACAAAAAATTTAAAAATTAGACAGGTGTGGTGACGTGCCTATAATCCCAGCTACTCTTTTGGCTGAGGAAGGATGATCACTTGAGCCCAAGAGGAGAGGCTGCAGTGAGCTATGAGCATGCCGCTGCACTCTAACCTCGGGGACAGAATGAGACCTTTTCTCTTAAAAATTAAATAAGCTTTGCATTAGATGATTTTGCCCAACTAAAGGCTAATGTAATAACACTTAAGGCAGAAAAGGCTAAGCTGCGATGGTTTGGTACCTTAGCTGTAGTCAATGCATTTTTGACTTAATGATATTTTCAACTTAACAATGGGTTTATCAGGACATAACCCCATCGTAAGTCAAGGAACATCTGTAGTAGTGTTGTTACCATTAAAAAGAAAAGCCAAAACATACAGAAAGTCACCCAATAACAAAACCAAAACAACCCTTTTTCACAGGGAATGAAAAGGATGGGAGCTCTCTAGAACATAGGCAGCCCCCCGCACCCCCCGACATGTTACAGTGTGCTGGCACTTTCCAGCACCTTCACAAACGGCATCTCACTGAAGCTTGACAGCAACTTTATGATAAACTTATAATCATGCCCATGTTACAGAAGCAGCAGCTCACTGCACGTCCAAGGACTGGGCCGGGGCAGGCAGGGCAGAGCCGCGTCTCCTGGGGCCTGTGTTCGGCTCCCCACTCCCCATGTCAACAGGAGGCAGCTCGCCCGTGGGCACTGGCAGCCTGCCTGCTCCTTCCCACAGGCTGCCTCCTTCAGCCTTCAGGACGTCCCTGCCAGGCAGGCCAGGCCAGCCCTGTCTTGTGGATGAGAAAATAGCCTCATGAGATTTGATGATGGCAGTATCTGCAATTTGAATCCAGCTCTTCCCGACTCCCATCCTTTGTCCGGGACAGCATCCTGCCTGTCCAGGCTCATCACGTCAGTTGCTTGAGATGAAAATGCTCTTGTTGGTTTTCAGAGTCCCAGCTGAAAGACAATCCTGCCTTCTCCATGCTGAATGATTCCGATGATGATGTGATTTATGGGTGAGTGAGTCCCTGTCCCTCAGAAGGCCGGCGCACCTCGTGCATCCCAGCGCCTGTCCCTCAGAAGGCCGGCACACCTTGGGCATCCCAGCATGGCCTTGCATGTTTACTGAATGGGTTACTATTCTAAAATTATTTTTAAGGTTTGAAAGCATTTACTTTGGAGTGTCGAGTGGCTTGTGGTTTTGTTTTCACAGTATTCGGGCTTAGATGTGGTGGTATTCCTTTCTGCTGGCTACCTGTGGGGTGTGCTGGCCACGGGAAGAACTGTGCTCTCTGGACTGATGGGCCCTGGGAACTGGGGGTGGGGGAGAGGAGGATGGGGTCAGCAGCAGTAGCAGGTGGTGATAGAAAATTGAGGGAGCGAAGCTGTGGTCGAATTCCTGCAGGGATGGTGTGTCAGTGTGAAAGAGGTGAATAAAGAGCTGTCAGAAGTCAGATGGTCTCAAAGGTCTCTTTCCTCACAGGAGTGACTATGAAGAAATGCCGCTGCAGAACGGCCAGGCCATTCGGGCCAAGTACAAGGAGGAGTCAGACAGTGACTGAGCCCTGGCCAGCCCAGCAAGGCGACAAGGTGCCTGGATGCTTTCCCCGGTGACTGTCTGCTGACCTTCCCCTGTTATATTCAGACTTTTCTTATAAGCAGAGATTTCCTGTTCCTCATTTGTTTACATATTTTTTTAAAGGAAAACCAAAACTGAGGGCAAATTTAAATGTTTAGCCAAATTTATTGTCTTGGTGGCTATGAGAAGAGAGGCGCTGATAACAAGTTTCAACAGCCAAATCCTTTTGTACGATTTCAGATGAGAGAGCATGTTTTCAGTGATGACGAGGAAATCACACATTTTTAGTAGAGTGAATTACGTACTTTTTTTTTCTGTGATCATTCACTGATTCCAAGTTCATGGGCCGCCTGTGACTAGGTCCTCAGCGTGACAGCCTCACCCTCTTTCTTCCCTTCTCCCTGGTACTGTTTTTTGGCCCTTTAAACTCAAAGGGAAGCCTTATCTGTGGCCGCTTCAGGGCAGTCCTTCCTCATTGAGTGGCCAGTGCCCTGGGGAACCAGGTGGCTGAAGTGATTGGTCACTTCCATGGACTGCGTTTGGTGCAGTGTGTGTTGTGACTCATCAGGGGAATGGGGGATGCCTGGGTTCCAACCCTTCACGTCACCAAAGGGGAAGTAATAGTGTGGAGTTCTGAGGAGGGTTTGATAAGTTGAATAAGGAAAGGCTAAGGTAATTTACAGGTTACCAACTCCCGTGGGGGAAGGTCTTATTGCCATGGTGCTTTTCAGGGGTCTGTGTGTACACACATCACTAAATGGATTTCCCTGTGGGTGGTAAATCGGGCAGGAGAGGAACCCTTATCATTCCAATAAATGGCAGTTTCTGCAATTCTGTTGAATATGAAATGCCAGAGAGCCTTATTTATTTATTTATTTAAATAAAAGCTAAATGAGGAATCAGGCACAGTGGCTCACACCTGTAATCTCAACACTTTGGGAGGCCATAGTGGGAGGATCACTTGAGCCCAGGAGTTTGAGACCAGCTTGGGCAACTTAGGGAGACCCCGTCTCTATAAAACATTAAAAAGTTAGCCGGGCATGCCCGTAGTCCCAGCTACTCAGGAGGCTGAGGTGGGAGGACTGCTTGAGCCCTGGAGGTCGAGGCTGCAGTGAGCCATGACTGCGCCACTGCACTCTAGCCTGGATGTCAGAGTGAGAACCCATGTCATTCATAAATACATAAATAAAGCTTCATGAAAGATTGATAGAATATTTCAGATTAGTTATTGGCAAAAAGTTTTTAAACTCATATTTGGAAACAAAATGAAAAGAAAGTAAAATGTTTTAAATGGTTCATGGAAAACGTATTTGGGTAGAAGGCAACTCGTGCTTCCGGAAGGGGTTCCCTGTCCTCCATGCGTCACATAGCGGTCAGGTAGGGATGACCTGCTCTGTGAAGTCCTTGGCACCGTTGAATCTGTGGCATCATAGAAGGCCCTGGAGCTTCCCCGTTTCTTTCAGTCAAGGACTCCATATAGAAGTGTCGTGTGGATGTCTCCTATGCTTTCCTCTTCACCTCTGCAGTCACACATCTATTAACATCCAGTAACTGTGGGCAGCCTGACTAATGCCGTCTTGGCGATTGAGGTCCAGAAGATGATAGTTCCGCAATGCCAACAGTACCTACTTTTTTTCTTCATCTATGCATTGACTCTCAGATGACCATGCAGAGCTTCAGATTACCATCCACGTTAAGTAGTGCTAGGACTTTAGAGATGTTCATGAGAAACTATTTGTTATGACTTTCCTTTGTATCTTTCCTTTTAATTTAAACTTTAGTGATAATGTACTTTTAATATGGGTTCCATTCACATTGTTTTAAAAACCTTGTAAATATGAATGTTTAAGACAACTTACTGCAAGGGTAATTCAAGTTTACATGATTTTTAAATTTGCAATGATGTGGTTTTTTTTTTTCTGTGTATGGAAAAAAATTTTCTGTTACCAAATTTTACAACTTCTAATAAGACTACTATAATTTTATGTAAACTGATGAAGACTTGTGCTGATTAACATGTTCTGTGATACAGTTTACAATTTTTAATCATTATAAAATAATTGTCCATGATTTGGAATGCTGTTATTTATCAGTAAATGTAAAATATTTGAGGCATTTAGCCATACACACACTAGAACTTTTTAAAACTTATCTTTGTCCTATAGTGTAATTATAAACTGATGACTATTATCTTCATACATTGAGTTTTCATGCATCAGTGAAATAAAAAATATGGGATTTATTTACTTTTTGTAACTAAGTTGGAAATAAGAAAAAAATTAGTACTTAAGGGGAAAATGGTTCTTATTAAGTCATGTATTTTCAACTTGTCTTCCCTGGTATATCATAAATATCAACTTATTACATACCCCATGTAAAATTTTGCTTAAACTCTCTAGCACTTGGCATGTAGAATATGTACCATAGGTATCCGGTTAAAACACTAAAGTCCGCCAGAAACTTTTGACAGTAGCAAGAAAATTGTTGAAGAAAAAATAAACTATTTACTGAGGGTAGTTATGTTAAAGTTTTTGCGAACTTAAAGGGCTGACTTTAGTTCTTTCATGGTAATGGCTTGAATAACATCATCTTTGGGATTTTTTAAATACTGGTCCAGTCTAGCAGAACCTGGAAGATGACCAGAGGTATTTCAGTTTCCCTAGGGAGAGCTTCATTATCCATGTGGATAATAAGTCTGCTTGATTTATTATTAAATCATTACAGCAGTGAAGTGGTGCCATTTTCTCTCTCTTAAGCCCCATTTGAAAGGCTAGAGAAGGGGATATATATACTATATTCAAGGTTTGTGAGGTTGTTACTGTACATAATTGCAGATTGCGGTAAAAGCTTAGATACATTATGTAAACCCAACCCACTAAATGAGCAGGTTACAAAACAAATGTCACCAGCCGCAAGTAACGATTTACTGAGGGTAGTTATGTTAAATAGATTATAATGTGGTAAATTATTTCCTGAATCCTTTATCACAGGAAAAAGAGATCCTCATAAAAGGGATAATTAAAAGGGATATCTCTGAACATTTAGTGAAGATGAGACTTAAAACACGAAAGTGTATTTGTGCATTTTGAGGGTTTTAGAAACCAGTTGCCTTAGAGGTTAGACTTCTGGGGGGAAAAAAAAATACAAATCTTTTCCCCTGGCCAAAGGGAAGTTGTGTGAGTCTGTGACATCTTGTGATGCCGTTTATCTTGGTTTGACATTGGAGATATGCTGGTAACTGTAACACCATACTATAAAACAGAAGAATTTTCTGCTACTGAAACTGCCTTTTTACAAAATGACTGTAAATATTTGTAAAGTAACACTCAACTTTAAGCCCAGGAGAGGGAGAGCCATGTGTTCAGTTGGGGACCTGTCCTTGGAGCACAGTGCCACCCCATCACAGTGTTGCTGCCATCAGGCGAAAGTCAATGAGCAAATTCGTGTTTTGCGAATGGCTTAATTCTGACACTACCTTTCTGGTAAATGTTAATAAATTTTTAATATTCAGTTCTATGTGTCTTGGTTTGTTTGCTCTTTGTGTGTGGAGTTAATTTGGCCTTGCAGACATAAATGCTTTAATAAAGCGGCTTTGGCGGTAACGGAAGGGCTTTTCCGTTTCAGCAGGCAGGCACGGAGGTGTCTTTATTGCCATGTCTAACATGGCCTGGGGAAGAGCACTGAAGATGGAGACAAGTCCTGGGTTTGGGCCCATCTCCCTACTTGGATGTGTGACTTTAAACCAATCAGATAACCTCCAAACACATTTTCTGATTTTTAAATGACTGCAAATTGTTGAGGACATAAAATGAGTGATTGTGAAAGCCATTTTGTAAGCTATGAAGTACTAAAACAATTTGTGAGCCCTACAGAGAACACAGGATTATCAGTTACGGTGTCACAGCTTTGGGCCAAGTGTGAGAGCTCTCTGGCTAAGAGAATAGGAATTGCTTTGGCCACCTCCCACCCCTTAATCTCCAGAAGAAGAGGGCTTAAGAATGGTGCGTGTGATGCCCAGGGGTAAGAATCTAACCAGAGCCCAGCAGAGCCGTCAGGATCCTGGTCCTATGGGTGAAATGAGTACATCATACGACCACAGCAGAACTGCAACTTTTTGTTTGCATTTGTTTTTCTGAGGCGGAGGCTCGGTCTGTAGCCCAGGCTGGAGTGCAGTGGCACGATCTTGGCTCACTGCAAGCTCCGCCTCCCAGGTTCATGCCATTTTCCTGCCTCAGCCTCCCGAGTAGCTGGGACTACAGGTGCCCGCCACCACGCCCAGCTAATTTTTTGTATCTTTAGTAGAGACGGGGTTTCACAGTGTTAGCCAGGATGGTCTCGATCTGACCTCGTGATCTGCCTGCCTCGGCCTCCCGAAGTGCTGGGATTACAGGCGTGAGCCACCGCGCCCGACCCGGTTGTATAGATTCTGAAGCCACTCACTAAATACGAAGAAATCATTTATGATACTATGCAGACCATGGAGAACACAACAGACTCTAGATTTGAATAATTTATTCTAACAAAAGTATAAAGTATGGAAAATTAGTGTCTATGAATCATTTCAGAGAGTAGAGCAAGTTTCACACTAGCAGATTTCAGATTTTAGCACCTTTGAAAAGAAATATTCAGAGTTAAGACAAGTGGCAACGCAGGCTGCAGGTGACCTACAGGGATACTCATCTGACTTCGGTGCCGCTCACATCACAGTGTGGTCATTTGGTTTTTTTCCTCTACATTGTGAGAGTGCCACAAAACACTTAAAGAGAAGAAGGAAAGAGTTCACTGAATTCATGGCTGGTGGTTAGAGGATGAACTAGAGACAAAAGGAGAAAGGCCATAGGCTGAACTGCAGGTCAGATAGACAGTCCGAAGGCACTGACGATGCAGTACATGGTCTTATTCTCCCATCGCACAGTGCAGCTCCCTGCGGGAGGGAAGAGAGCAGCATTTAAGGCAGGGAAAGCTGGGGGACGACGTTTTACTCACAATAAGGCCAACAGTCAAGTACCTATAGGCTACACAAAGAACCTTGGCAAGTCTATTATAAAATGCTTTAAAAGGTTGATAAACATGCATTGCATTCAAAGATAAGAAACGTCCAGTCACATATTTCACACAATAAAACTTCACAAACATGAATGAAAATCATACCGTCAGTAGAGCTGTCCCAGAAGCAGGAACTTGCCGTGTGTAATCCAGCCCCATTCTTCTGCATGATCACACAGGTCACTTAAGTTAAAACAAATTTTTATTAGAGAAGTCTACTGGGTAACACAAATGTCATTCTGTCCACTTCTTTTTTTTTTGAGATGGAGTCTCACTCTGTCACCCAGGCTGGAGCGCAGTAGCGCGATCTCGGCTCACTGCAACCTCCGCCCCTCCAGGTTTAAGCAATTCTCCGCCTCAGCCTCTGGAGTAGCTGGGATTACAGGCATGTGCCACCATGCCCAGCTAATTTTTTGTATTTTTAGTAAAGATGGGGTTTCACCATCTTGGCCAAGCTGGTCTTGAACTCCTGACCTCGTGATCCACCTGCCTCGGCCTCCCAAAGTGCTGGGATTACAGGCGTGAGCCACTGCGCCCAGCCCATTCTGTCCACTTTCAGCAAAACTACATAGCTCCACATGGTTGATGTTCTCAACAAAAATTATAGGGACAGATTGCCTCGTCTCACTACATTGTAGGTGCTCCTTGACTTACAGTATCCCATAAACCCATCATAAATCAACAATATATACAAATTAAGTTGCAAATGCACTTAATACCCTGGTAAATCCATCATAAAGTTGAAAAATCCTAAGTTGAACCACTGTTAAGTTGGGAGCTGTCTGTACATGCTCCCTCTCCACTTCACTTGTTCTAAAAGCATCTGATGGCACCTCCTGTAAGATCCCGCTTCACAAACGCCCTGCAATTGTACCAGCAGCCAAACGGTCAAGTGTATGCTAACATATGCTACACACACGCCCGACTCCCACCAGAAGCCTTCCTTGAGGCGGGGCCACGTTAGCTGTTGTTTCTGGTACTGGATGCTCCCCTGATCAGTGTTAAAAAACCATCCCTCAAATATACAAGAAACAAAAATCCATTACCAATGTATTTAAACGGTTTTCCCAGCTTGGTGAGTTGGCTTAAAGTTTGTTCTACTACATTTGTGGTCCACTGGTTCACTTTGCTGTGCTGATAAGCATTACCACCAATTGCGCTTTCTATAGCCTAGAAAACAAAGCACAAAGTGCGTCCCGGTTAACCAAATGCACCCACACCACCTTTCAATCAGGAACTGACAGCACCCCAAGAAGTGATTTATGAAAAGTTTATTTTTAATCATGAGGGTGCCTTTGCAAATACACCTTTTGATAGTATTATATTTCATTTAAATGTTTGAAATTTGCTTTAAAAATTCATAGTCTGGCAAATTATTTACACATTTTGACCTAATACTTACATTTAATGTTCACTACTACTATTAGTATTTAGAGATAAGCAATACATTTTTTTTTCCTGTCAAGGCTGGAAAATATTTTGCCATTCATTTCTTAAAGGTGTATTACTTTTATCTACTACTATCTAACATATACTAATACTATATATTAGATGAATTGTATTATTTGTACAACTGACAATATATAAACCTATCCAAATAATCATATATTAAAAAATACTTTTATCCAGCATTGTTTGGGAACAGGTTACCACGTTAAGTGCATTTTTCAGATAACTAAAAGCCCTTTATATTCCAAAACTTATTTTAGGTTTATGATGAAATTTTTTTATTTTGATTTTTCTGAGGCAGGGTCTCCTTCTGTTGCCCAGGCTGGAGAGCAGTGATGCAATCTTGGCTCACTGCAGCCTTGACATCTGGCGCTCAAGCAGTCCTCCCACCTCAGCTTCCCCAGTAGCTGGGACTGCAGGCATGTGCCACCATGCCTGGCTAGTTTTTTGTAGAGATGGGGTCTTGCTCTGTTGCCCAGGCTGCTGTCAAATGCCTGGGCTCAAGTGATCCTCCTGCCTCAGCCTCCTAAAGTGCTGGGATTGCAGGCATAAGCCACAGCACCCAGCCCAACTTTTCTCCTTTATTATACGCTTACTTCTTTTTCTATGCTATATTCTTTGGGGGTTATCTGACAATGCAAGGCTCACTGTCGCTGTTCTCGCTAAGCTTATCGCTATGATACTGCCATTGTGTGATTTTCTGGGTTTTTCAGCGTCAGCTCCCCTTTCACATGGATGCCAGTGTGCTTGCATCTCAGCAACTTTCTTCTCTACCCCTAACTTGCTGTGCTAGAAACCAGGAACCTGAGTTTCTATGACAGTTATGACCTAAAGTGAAAATAACAACATTCAGTGAGGGCCAAGGTCTGTCCTCAGACAGGCGGAGCAAACCAGCAGTCCGGGATCTGAGCTGTGCACGGTGGGGACAGACTGGTATCTGATGCCTGCGGCTTAGATCCAGTGACTTTGCTTTTGAGGACCTAAAACCTCCCTAGGTCACTCTGACTTCTACCTACAGACCTGCCGATCATCTCCCTGGGACTCTTGAGTAGTCATGTTACACACAGGGCCGGCTTACTTCTTGTCCTCTGCCACTGTGCTCCCTCCCAGCTCAGAGGCTGCAAGAGGGCTGGGGGGCCAGAAGTCCCAGTTTAAGAGGATAGCGGTATTACTAGACCTGGGCATTGTCAAAGGGTGGAGGGGCTTTGTTCAAGCTAAACCTCTCCCTCCGCCAGCTCTCCCTCCGCACATACTTTGAAATTCGGTTTTTCAAGGAGGAGGGAACTCTCCACCAATTTTGGATCTGCACAAATTGACTACTACCCAATATTTAGGGTCACCTGAGTACAGAATTACCTGTAGCCCCCGCAATAGGGGGGAACGGGGAATGTGCACTGCCCCCACTTCCCACGGGGCCTTGTCCCCTCTTTTTACTGCATTACCCCTACTTCTACTCATTCTTCAGATTTCAGCTCGAAATGGACCCTGAACTCCCTGGGTGGGTCACATTCCCCGTTCAGTGCTCTCACAGCACCACCACTAGTGGCACTTACCACACAGCAAATGCAGGCTGACACTTTCCAGTGGGACTGTTTGATGTGTCTGCCCTGCCCGCCCCTCAGCTGTAAACTCCAGGAGGGTATATGCCCTGCGTGCTCCCTCAGTGTGTACTTTCTGAATGAATAACAAACATCCCTTCTGTCTCTCTTCCTCTTCATGATCAATAACACAATAAAGTGTGAAGTTTAGAAATGTAAGAAAAGTAAGCATATAGGCCCCAAACTGGATCACCAGGTCCAGAATAACTGGAAGTTGACTGTTTAAGTTTCTTATACTCACTCTTTAATGATATTCAGGAATAATGCTATGTACATAAAATTCCTTGTCTGATTTAAAATATGTAACTTGCATAATATGGAAGCAATTCTTAACTAGCTATTTGCTGAAGTAAAAACTGTTATTTGAAACACCAAAACACACAGACTCAGTCAAAACAATTCCAAGATAGTATTTAAAACACATTATTTTCTCTAATATAAGCCATTAATCAAACATTTAAGAAGTGAGCATTTATCCTCTTACCTCTTTTACAATGTTGCTCACTTCATCAACAACAAAAGCAGTCTGCAAGGAAGAACATTAAGTTTTTAAAAGATATTTCTACTACATTGATAAATGCAAATTTATGTAATGAACATAATTTAGAAATGAAGACCTTAGAAATAATCTAAGTAGACTGTTCACTTTAGCAAGGATGGATGGCATTACAGTCTTCAGAAACCAGAAGACTAGAATACATGTATGTAATGTAAAGGTGTTCTGTTTTATTTATTTATTTTTGAGACAGAGTGCTGCTTTGTAGACCAGGCTGGAACACAGTGGCAAGATCACAGCGGCTCACTGCAATCTCCGCCTGCCAGGTTCAAGTGATACTCCTGCTTCAGTCTCCCAAGTAGCTGGGATTACAGGTGTCCTCCACCACACCCAGCTAATTTTTGTATTTTTAGTAGAGATGGTGGTTTCACCATGTTGGCCAGGCTGGTCTCAAACTCCTGACCTCAGGTGATCCTCCCACCTCAGCCTCCCAAAGAGGTGGGATTACAGGCGTGAGCCACCACACCCGGCCCTGTTTTGTTTTAATCATGCCACAATCTAAGACTTCACTTTAAACTAGAATTCATTCTCTTCTTCCATTTCAACTGACTGCTAGAATCATTAACCAATAGAGAAGCTTAATGAGTTGTCTGATTTTTGTATAAATTAACTGAAGCTGCTGAAGCAATCCATTTAAGATTGTAATTCTCTCTTCCATGATGTTAACTGATTAGGAGGCCTGACCTTGAGGAAATTTTTTTAAAGCACCATTAGTTGTAAAATGTACAATGATTATATTATTTCCAGGTAATTATTTTTCTTTCCCAGTGATGCCCTCCTACTCCAGGACTAACCACCATCTGCCAGCATGGCCGTTCTCCGTCAGTGTCTGGATGACGTGGGAGGTGAGCTGCCTGCAGTAATCTAGTGCCAGGAGTATAGTTTTCTTAGTTTTCCTTTTACACATGGCAGATCTGAATGGGTAAAAGGTCATCCTGAAAATAACATCAGTCAGGCACTTGCCTGCCAATGTGCTCTTCACACGAGCACAAGCGTTTAAAGTTACTGCTGAGTCCCAGGAAAGGTACGAAGCTCTGGACACGCCTTCAAGAGGGCAATCCCCCAGGGCCCTCAGTCAACGTGCATTCTGGGGGAATCAAGGCAGAGAACCCTGACTTGGCAGTGAGTCTTCCTCCCTGCCTGGCTGCTGTCCACTGCAGGCCCTGCCCTTTCTTTTTAGGGGGGTCAGGAGCTGACTGCCCGAAGCCACCTCACTTGCTGTACTCAGAAGTCGGACTTGGAAACAAAACCAACTCACTGAGTGAATGACAGTTAGCAATATCTTAGAGATTAAGTCATTTCTGGAAGCGTAAAGGATGCTTCCAAGTGACTACAGTGACCTTAATCACAAAGGAAAGGCACTGTATAACCTCCCATATGGTTACAGTACAAAAAAGGTTGAGGGACATTTGAAAGAATTTTTAGTGGAAAGCAGAGAGTTGTATTGAATCCAGTGGACAGTTTTAACTTCTCCAAGAAAGATGAGTGGTGAGTTGAGAATACTTACAAAGGCCCAGGCATCTACATGAAATTAGAAGAGATGGAGAAAAGGCTGCTAAGAGGCTGCTGGGAGGACCAGAACGGGCCATTCAGTAAATACCTAAGACATGCCTACTACAAGACAGCCATGGTCTCCACCTCCCAGGGCTTCCATCCCAGGTGGAGCACTCACCACTCTGCCCAGCCCCCTTCATTTTACACATACGGAATTGAGATCTCGAATAACGAAGCCACTTAGCCACCTCATTTGTGGGAGTCAGAATCGGACTGCAGTACTAAGCGCTTTCCTTTACAAAGCGATTTCTTTTTTAGAACAGTTTTACTCGATATTGCTATAATACATTTTCCAATATTATATTAGCAACAGTTTAAGGGGAAAGGCTTTTTCTTTGCGAACTGCTCCTGCACCAGGTCTTCTGGTCACTATTCACTTGGTTGCCATCAGTATTCAAACACTGATTATGTCATTGTCACAGGAAGTGTGTGCTAGTTAGGAAATCAGATCAAAACTGAAACTTAATCAGTCCTTAAGTTTTAGTTTTATTTTCCCTGAAAACATTCCTCGTTAAACTAAATTTCTTTTCTTTTTTTTTTTTTTTTTTTTTTTTTTGAGACGGAGTTTCGCTCTTGTTGCCCAGGCTAGAGTGCAATGGCGCGATCTCGGCTCACGGCAACCTCTGCCTCCCAGGTTCAAGCGATTCTCCTGCCTCGGCCTCCCGAATAGCTGGGATTACAGGCATGCGCCACCACGCCCGGCTCATTTTGTATCTTTAGTAGGGACGGGGTTTCTCCACGTTGGTCAGGCTGGTCTGGAACTCCTGACCTAAGGTGATCCGCCCGCCTTGGTCTCCTAAAGTGCTGGGATTATAGGCGTGAGCCACCGCGCCCGGCCACTAAATTTCATAAATGGCAAAATATCCAACCTTACCAAATGTATCTATAGTTTATATTTTTGACAGGCTGTATAATAAATCCATAGGGCTCTATCTGAATTTCAACGAGGATTATTCAGTAAGAAGAAAATGAGGGTTGTATCTCAGCTGCGCTCATCAGCTCTATTCCCCGAATGACCGTGAGCTTGAAGGAAAGCCATTTAACGCACACGGTGCCGATGGGTGTCTTCTGCTTGACAAGATCGTGGGCTTTATGCTACTTCCTCAAGGAGGCACTAAGAGACGATTTTTTCCCCCACAACAGTGAGCTTTCTTACAGACCTCTTAAACGGAAATGAAATGTGCTACTCATTCCCAGCACTGCAGACCCAGGTGAGGCCCGAGACAAAGGCGCGGGGCTGCCGGGACGCCAGCCCGGGGCGGAGGGGTTGGGGGCAGGAGGGTCACCCGCACCCCCGCGGGGAGACATCCAAGCCCCGGCGCTCCCAGCCCGGCCGCCGCGCCCCGCTCCAAGCTGGGGCTGGGGTCAGCTCCGCAGAGCAAGGGGCGGTGATGTCATCCTCCCGGCGAGCCTGGCTGCGGGCGGGAGACGAGGCCCTGCGGGAAGGTTTCTCGGCACCGCTCACCCGGGCGCTCTCTCCGAGTCACGCCCGACGCCTCCCCGCGCGGGAAGCTCAATCCCCTTCCCGCCCCATGCGCCGAGGAAAAGGCGGCAGTGTCCGGGCAGAACGGGGCCGGGCGGAGAGCGCCGGCTATCGTGAACCTCAGGCCGTGGGTTGCCGAGACCGGCCTAGCTGAAGGAGGTGGGCAGCCAGGTCTTTCCGGGCAGCACCGCGTGTCCTTCCGCGGCCAGGGCTCTAGGCCTCCACCCTTCCGTCGCCGACCCGGCGGTTACCTCCTCCGCAGCCTGGTAGTCTTCCATCTTTCCTCCCGCGCGTCGCCTCCGCCTCCCTCAGTGGCGCAGACTACGCAGGCGCACTCAGGCCCCGCCCCCGACCTGCCACGCCCCTCTCCTTTCGCGCCAGCCCCGCTCATGCCCAACTCCTGGGCCCCCACGGCTCCGCCCACGACCAGCTCCCGGGTCCCGCCCTTCCCTGCCCGGACCCTCACTGACTCCATCCCTGGGCGGGGCCTGCGGGTGGACCCTGTATTGGCCTCTCCTGCTGTCCTCTGGGAGGTGGTGGTTTCCATGGGAAACCGTGAGGGTAGCAGGGCAGCTCCCTAAACCTCAGCAACGGAAACAAAACACACTTACAAAAGGCAGTCCTGGAGGGGAAGCGTGGTCCCGGCCCCTCCCCCGGTTTGTATCGTGTGGATTGACGCGGACTTTCAAACCGGCTCGGGCACCTGGCAACTGCCAAGGCAGTGCGCCCGGTGGGACGTTGTTGCAGTTCCCTTGGGGGCTGGTATTGGCAAACTTTAGCTATCTGAATGAAACTTTCCTTTGGGGAGTTAAGTTTTCCAGGTAAATGAGAATTTTTCCTTTAAGCACCATTTAAAAAAACCATTTTGGGTGGAAAATTTTGTAAAATGTGGCACACTTCCTGACTACCTTAACCACAATGAACTAGACAGACTTGGTTTGAATGTGGGTTCTTTATGGAAATTAGGAATTGCACTGGACTCTGGTAAACTGCCTTCCACGGAAAGCTGGGGCATATGCACCTGTTGGCAGGTATTCTCAGGCTCAGAGTTTTGATTTTGGCGTTTGCTTTTTCTGGTTTCATCATGCACTTGAATTCAGGCTGCTGGAACCCACTTCCCATTCTCCAGGAAGGAACTGACTGCAAGAGTCCCAGGGACTTGGTAGAACTAAACTTCAAATCCCACATCTAATCCATGAGCAACCCTTGTTATTTCTACCCTATATGCTCGGGACCCCAGTAAAAGATTGAAATCTCTCATCTGGATTATGACCATCGGACTGTAACCTGGTCGGTCTATCAGGGTCTTATTAGAGACCTTCAAGAGGAACCTAACCCGAAGACGCTTCCCTCCCCTCACCCGTTCTGCCTTGCCCTATCAAGAGTTCCTATGCTGTCAGACTGTAGACTAATCTTAGTGACCTTTGGGTGACTTAACTTTTAACATATCTTAGCTCAAAATCTCCTACACAGAGCCATCCTGTGACCACTGTATCTAAGGTAGCGACCTCCTCATTCTCTATCCCTGCATCCTGTACATTTTCCTCATAGCACTTCTCTCAGTTTGCAAGAATGTATTTATGGTTGCTGGTTTATGGTGTGTCTCCATTTAGAAACTAAGTACCATGCAGGAAGGATCTGTTTTATTCACTAATGTATCCCCTTCCTTCCACATTGTGCCTGGCACATAATAGCTGCACAATTAAAATTTATTTATTTATGTAGAGACAGGGTGTCATTCTGTTGCCTGGGTGAAATGCAGCGGTGTGAATGCTCAAGGGATTTTTGAGCTAAGATGTGTTCAAGTTTAGTCATCCAAAGATCACTAAGAGCTTGAACTCCTGGGCTCAAGGTATTCTCCTGCCTTAGCCTCCTGAGCAGCTGGGATTCCAGGCACTAGCAACCACACCCCGCTATTTTTTTATATGTCTTTTGTAGAGATAGGGTCTCACTGTGTTGCCCAGGCTGGTCTCAAACTCCTGGGCTTAAGGGATCCTCCAGCCTCAGCCTCCCAAAGTGCTGGGATTGTAGCTGTGAGCCACCATGCCCGGCCTAACATTTATTGAATGAATCATTTCCCCCATGGGTGTTAGCTTTGCCTCAGACCCAAATGGAGAGAACTGGGGAGTGGAGGAAGATGCAACGACCTGCCTCCTTGAGGGAAACAGGGCTGGTGAGGGGAGGACAGAGCCCTGACTGACCCAAGGCTGCTGGCCCTGGGTCCTTGGCCTGAGCAGGGAGACTTGCTGAGTGGGCTGGTTGCTCTCCCACACCTGGTCTTCCTCTCCTTGGATTCTGAACTTTATCTACCTTTTGAGTTCCTTTCTTATTACCTGGCTTCAACTCCCCTGTCCTAGTGTTTCAGTCTTGCGCCTCAGTCCACACGTGATTCTGATGCTGACATTGCTTTACCTTCCTGCCGTTCTCAGCGTCACCTGAGATCTCATTTTGGGTGTTCTCTGCCTACCTGATTCCGAGCTCTCGGTCTCACCATGATCCTGAGCTGATCAGGAGCCTCTTAATTCTTTTTTCTTCTGCTACTTTGTTGTGGACCTGGAGTTCAGTAGCTGAGTGTCACAGAATGATGTGCAAAGCAAGAGTAAACCGGTTCTGAGCGAACACTGGCAATGGAAGAGCCTTTTCATTTTTCAACCTTTTCAGTTTTCCCCACAACCTTTGAGGAACTTCCTAATTTAAATGAATTTCCTGAGTGGCTGTTAGGATGGTGCATAATTAATGCATGGATCTTGTTACATTATAACTGCGGATCACCAGCATGCACATAAATCAACAGAAAACATGCAAATGTTTACATGATTTTAGCTTTTATACATTGGGTACCAGTCTCTAATTTTAACTATCAAAGAACGTTTGTTAAATTACCATGAGATATGGCATTCTGAGGCTGCCAATAAACAGATGAACTGGTCTGTTTATCTTCATAACTATTTGTTCACTTGTTCAAGACACATATATGGAGCACTCCCTTTGTGTCAGGCTCTGAGCTGGGGTTGAGGCTACAAAGTTGACTAAAACATGGCCTTAATGGAATATATTTTTTAAAAAGGATGTATCTGTAAATAGGAGGGTTTGAATTCTCTAGGCTTACGTGATGTTGTTCTGCTTGGAAAAATGCAGTGATGTGGTATTATATTCTGCCCAACTGATGTAGAGTCTGTAGGGCTAAAGCATTTAAAATCGTTGAGACATTTGGCAGTTCACCAGATGCCATTGCCAGCACCTTCCATCTGCCACGAATGGATGTCCATCAGAAGCATTGGAGCTCAGACACCTTGACTCATAACTGCTCGTGAATCTTTAGCATTCCGCCATATTTTAGAATAATGTTTAGTTTCTATGCAGTAAGTCAGTGGAGTGAATCTTAGGTTTGTTTTTCAATTTGGAGGTTAGTGATAGGTTGGCAGGTTTGCGTGCAATCACCTTTCTTTCCTGGAGTCAAATTTCTTAAATACAGACTGTGGGACTGGAGCTGCCAATACCTTTATTTAGCAAGTGTGGGCCTGATAATCATAGCAGTCAACGAACTGTCACATCAATAAATAACATCAAGAATATCCAGCAGTGGCTGGGCACCGTGGCTCACACCTGTAATCCCAGTACTTTGGGAGGCTGAGGTGGGCAGATCACCAGAGGTCAGGAGTTTGAGACCAGACTGACCAACATGGAGAAACCCCATCTCTACTAAAAATACAAAATTAGCCGGGTGTGGTGGCACATACCTGTAGTCCCAACTACTCGGGAGGCTGAGGCAGGAGAATCGCTTGAACCTGGGAGGTGGAGGTTGTGGTGAGCTGAGATCGCACCACTGCACTCCAGCCTGGGCAACAAGAGTGAAACTCCCGAGTAGCTAGGATTACAGGTGCCCGCCACCACGCCCAGCTAATTTTGTATTTTTATTCTCAAATAATAATAATAATAATAATAATAATATCCAACAGTGTTGTTGTGCTGTCTATCATCTGCAGCCCTTCATAGTCCAAATCCCATCCTGTGGATATTCCATTTTTTCCTTTCTTCCCCTGTGCCAAGAAGTATGTTACTGAGATGTACCATGAGATCATGCTGAGTCAAAATGATAATAAAAGAAGACGACGAGGAGGATGAGGGTGATGTTGAAACACTCATGGCTGAGGAATTTAATGTTGTAAAGGAAAAGAAACTCTAGCTGACACATATCTAAAGTGAGAGTCCTGTGCTGAGAAATGCTGAAGAGATATGGCATTCTGAGGCTGCCAATAAACAGATGAACTGGTCTGTTTATCTTCATAACTATTTGTTCACTTATTCAAGACACATATGTGGAGCACTCCCTTTGTGTCAGGCTGTGAGCTGGGGTTGAGGCTACAAAGTTTTAATATATATATTAAATATATTTAATATATATTAAATATATAATTAAATAAATATTAAATTAAATATATATTAATATAATATAATAATATATAATATATTTAATATAGGCATTTCTTAGCTAATCTCTGTTGAGCTGGGAAGCGGACGCACAGTTGTGCTGGAATACCTCTGTACCCCATGAAAGAGTGGTTGCTCTGAGCTTCTTGGGCCTCTCTTCCTTCAATCCTGGTGACTGCAGCCCCTTCCCTGGGACCTCATCCTCAAGATCCAGTAACTAAAGGATAGCTCATGGTATAGCAGGGCCTCCACTGGCATTTGTTCCAATGGGTAAATATTCATGCTATCATAGTTATT